GACCACAATAAATGACCCATACAAAAAGGTTGTTATGTTACAGTGATTACAGTGACGAGTGAACAAAGTGGTGACCACAATAAATGACGTCATGCTGTACAAGAAGAGAGCAAGCTGTCTGTGACAATGTGCAAAAGGCAACCGCTGAGTGAGATGTGCATGCTGCGAAGTGTGGAGACGAACATCATGGCTGCGTGTAGACGCGACACAAAACACGAGCGTGTGTCACACATCACAGGACGACAGTGTGTTTCACAACATAACACATCACGACACACCATGACAATGTGTAGACACGACACATTATAACAGTGTGTAGACACAAAACATCACGACACACCATGACAATGTGAAGACACGGCACATTATAACAGTGTGTAGACACATTACAACACATGACAACACACCATAACAATGTGAAGACACGACACATTATAACAGTGTGTAGACACATTACAACACATGACAACACACCATGATAACACAACGTGATAGAGAGGAGAAACAACACATTACGACACATCATGACAATGTGTAGACATCACACATCACAGCTCATCACGATACATTACAACATATCACAACAATGTGTAGACACATTACATCACGTCACATTGCGACACATCATGACAGTGTGTTAGACACAACACATCACAACAGTGTCAGACACAACACATCACAACACATTACGACACATCCTAACAATGTGTAGACACAACACATCACAACAGCGTGTAGACAAAAGCACACCACAACACACCCGGGCAGAGAGGAGACACTCTCTATCACAATCACAACACACCCGGACAGAGAGGAGAGACTCTCTATCACAATCACAACACACTCGGACAGAGAGGAGACGCTCTCTATCACAATCACAACACACTCGGAGAGAGAGGAGAGACTCTCTATCACAATCACAACACACCCGGACGGAGAGGAGACGCTCTCTATCCCAATCACAACACACCCGGACGGAGAGGAGACGCTCTCTATCACAATCACAACACACCCGGACAGAGAGGAGACGCTCTCTATCACAATCACAACACACCCGGACAGAGAGGAGACGCTCTCTATCACAATCACAACACACCACGCACGGAGTGAGAACAAAAACCAACCACAACGTTTACAGGCTACGTTCAGGTTCTATTACGACAGAGATCTGAGGACACGCCACAAAGTTAAATGATAAATTGTGAGTGACAATATTATACAACGAGTTTAATGTACAAATTAAGTCATTAGTAACAAAAGAGGATGAAAAACCAACGGACACACTCTCAGAAAGCTGTAGAACATACAGACAAAAAGATGACTTTGATTCGACGGAAAATAAAGTCACATACAAAATATTGTTAACAGTTGATGCAATCACAAACCAAAGAGACAGTTATATATTGTCACAATATCCAAATTTGAGACCTCATTGTCAACGTGAGCAAAAATTAGTAACGTAAACAATTACTTGTAGAGTGAAGAAAAAAAAACAACGAGCAAATGTGTGTGAGAGTATGATGAATTTTAAAATAAAAAGCCATTAGTATACATTTACAAGTGGTAGGAAATATACAAAAATTAATTTTTTACAAAAAGAAGAAAATTTGAGTGCGAAAAATGAGAGAGGCAGACAACCGTTAAAGAATTCTTTTAATATCACGTTTAAGGGGACGTAATCCCTGTTGGATACTCCAGATCCTGTGTCCAAAGTTCTCCTGTCTGGCGCCAAGACGAACCAGCGGCATGGCATCAGTCACTTTCGAAACGGATCACCCCAGGGCATTCTCATAATGACAGTATCATCATCATTATCATTATTGTTATCATTAATTATTATTATTATTATCAAAAAAGTTCCAGTAATAAATAATATTTGTGCAGTTAATGACACAGTCAGGTGTGATGGAGCACATGGTATAGGAGGGAAGGGATGAGATGGGCAGGAGAGGGGAGGGAAGGGATGAGATGGGCAGGAGAGGGGAGGGAAGGGATGAGATGGGCTGGAAAGGGGAGGGAAGGGATGAGATGGGAAGGAGAGGGAAGGAGAGGGATGGGAAGGAGAGCAGAGGGAAGAGAAATGAGGGGAAACGAAAGGGAAGGGAAGGAGAGGGAAGGGAAGGGAAGCGAAGGGAGACGACAGGGAAAATGAGAGGGAAGGGAAGGAGAGGGAAGGGAAGGAGAGGGAAGGGAAGGAGAGGGAAAGGAATGTTGAAGACAAGAGGGGAAGATGGGAGAATACATCTACCAGCAAGGGGAGACGGGTTGGGGGGGAGGGGGGGGATGCAGGTACACAGAGAATTTGTCAATGCGCGCGTATGTGTGTTTGCATTTGTATTGCAGGGGTATTGGATAATAGAGAGAGAAAGAGAGAGAGAGAGAGAGACAGACAGAGAGAGACAGAGAGAGACAGAGAGAGAGAGACAGAGAGGGGGGTGCGGAGGGTCGTGAAGGGTGGAATGGGATTCACAACACGTTTTTCATTTTAATTGTTTAGACAAAACAACAAAAAAAAAGAAAAAAAAGAAAATACCCCCCCCTCCCCCCGCTGTAAACAAGAAGAAACTGTCCAGAAGTTGAACAACACTGAGCTTGTTATCTTGGTTCTTCTTGCTTCTCAGAGTACCCTTCCTCTGTGACTTCGGAACATTCATTTTGTCGCTCTTGATAACACCGAAGGTACGTTGTTACTGTGTGTCTGCAGTTTCCTTGGGGGTTTTCGGCTGTTTCTAAAATATCAGTCAAGCCTATCACTATATCTATTCACTTACGTTCTGTAAAATAACATACATTTACGTACACGCGAGCATTCACATACATACACACACACACACACACACACACGCACACATACATTCACACAAATACACACACACACACATGCTTTTACACACACACATACACACACATACATACAAGCATACACACACATACATTTACACACGCACACACACACACACACACACACACACACATACATACAAGCATACACACACATACATTTACACACG